CTTTGCACGGGCACCTGGTTGGCCACTGTGAGAAAGGATGCTGAACTAGATTTGCCATTGGCCCAACAGCTCTTATGTTCTTAAGTTGGCTCTTATGTTCTTAAGATTGCTTTGCAAAAGAAAATGTGTATATTAGGCAAAATTGCATATAAAAACAATGTATGTTAGGAAAAACTGCACTGAAATGCTAATGAATATTCACAAGGCATTCTTAAAAAACAAATTCGCAAACAGATGTGAAAATACAGATTGTCAAAAGGAGAAACCATAGCTGTCAACTTTGTCCATCCCTAGCTATGGGAGTCTTTAATTTTGATAGGGAAAAGTGGCACATGGCCAGCATTAATTTAACTGTCTCCCGTTTCTCTGCTTCTTGCTGCTGCTCTAATGAAAACCAGAGCCCCTCAGTTGCTTGAAGTCAACATTTTTTTAAAAATTACATAACTCTGATGATGGATTCTCTGTGTTGCACATGTGTGAGAGAAAAGCTTTTGAGTGTTACATGAACGTGTACTCATCTGGGATCTAAATCAAGGCCTGGTGGGTTTCTGCGCATGAATGGCGCACATGTTTGTGAGCGTGCTCAAACCCAATGCAGTATGACCTTGTGCGTTGAGTCCTAGACTGTTTATGTCTCAAAAAACAACCTCCCCACTCACCCCACCTTCCCAAGGCTATAAACACTTCCTACACAGTCCCGCTCTCCAGAATTTGAAGGTGGGGGTAGGGGAACAACGTAATCCAAGTTTTAAAAAGAGACATATGATTCACTCTTGTCCCTGGCATAGAGCAACAAAGAAGGAGGAAACATTCAGGAAAAGCATAAACAGACAAGGATTTACAAAGGAGAGGGTTGATGTGTTCAGCCAGAACACTGCCCCGGGTGGTGTTCACAACCTAAAATACTTTGGACTTCGTAGAACGCTGAGAGGGCTTGTCCACGCTTCTGCTTCTCCGAGTGCTTTCCCCCTTGTCCTGTGCATTCGGGGCACAATTTTTAGCAGTTTTGCCTTTTCTCTGGCCGGAAAACCTGTTCCTAAGCAATAAATTGGAACAGCAACAGTTCATTACTTGTACCCCTCCCATCTGACTGGGTTGCCCCAGCCACCCTGGGCGGCATGCAACAGAATATAAAATAATATACAATACACCAGACATTAAAAGCTTCCCAGTACTGGGAAAATCCAATTGCCGTTTGCTCCAATTCAGCACTAAACTGCAGGTTTTCTCTGAAGGAAAGAGATTTTAAGTCGAACTAATACATGCAGGGGTTAAAACCATAGAGTAAGCTGTCCTGCTGGACTTACCTTGGGAGGAACCAGGTAACCAGGCCTCCTTCTATCCAAGAAGCTCACCATCTAAAGAGGCCTGAGATGGTTGTTCCAAGCTCAGACTGCATGGCTCTAACAAGCCATTATTGTGTTCTATCTATACCAATAGAACTTTCAACACACTGAAACTAAGCCAAGTTGTATCGCCTGTGTTTTCTGACTGATGTATAGAAAAGCACATGAACCTGACCTTTGAAGAGTTTGTAAGTAAACCATTTTTAACTTACCAACCTTGTATTTTTCTATGATGGGGTGGACTGTTTTGGAACTCACAGTGGCATATTATAAAAGGTCTAACAGTTGATATTCCCATGCTTTCCTTTGCTGCATATTTTGTGATTTTAACTAGTTGATGGGGTTCTCTCACCAAATAGTTATTGTCCCAAACCTGGATCTTGGCATCCAGGTAATTCTCCTTTTGTATACCCTTTCCTCCCTTTGCCACCCACACCTACTAAGTGCTCTTGGTTGAATGTAAAAAAATGGGTTGCTTAATGCTGTTCCTGCCATGCTATCTTTCTATGGGCAGGGAGTTTCGGCCAGACAATCTGTCAAAAAGACGACTGTCTTCTGTAAAGGAGGAAACAGGATCACCCACATGTAAATGGGCTGATGAAAACACTACCATGGACCCCTATGAGGGACTCTCCAATGCCCTGATGCTGAGCAAAGGCTCCCCAAACCCTGCTTTAGCTCTTCTTCCAGAAGTATCTTCAGCTTTCAAATGCCTTGGCCCAAGTTTGCATAACCAAGTGGATAATCAACAGACCTGACTAGGTTTTTTATTTCATCTCTTATTTCAGAAGTATCTTCCATCTCTTCAGTCAGTAGATCCAAACATAGTGGCTCAAGTTTACATTACAAAGTGGATAAGGAGCAGACCTGGCCTAGCCTATTTGCTTCACAAAGAAACTAATCTGACCATGAATGGTCTCTTTTTCTACCTAATTAAGTCTTAAAGCTTATAACCCTCAAGTGTTTTTGCCTGACTGGGATGTCTTCAAACTCTGATAATGCTTCTTCCTTTCCTGACTGGAGAGGTGTGTGTACAAACTGGCCTCCTGTATAAGGGTATATTTTAGGTTTGTTGACCAATCCACTTTTGCCTCTGGCATTGCCTGCCACAGACATGTGCCCCCAGGAAGGTTACCCAGAAAGGAATGTGGCCTCTAGGAATGAAAAGGTTCTCCACCCCTGCCCAAAATGGTTTGGAGGCAGTGCTATTTTTCTGGAAAAGAGGTGCCAGATCTCTCCATGAATGCCTCCCTTGTTCTCTTAAAATGGCAATGGCAACCACCTGAGAGGTGCCAAAACTGAGTTCCGTCTGGTGAGTTCTGGCTGAAAAAAGCCCTGGTTTGGGGTCAGGTTGCTCACACCAGGGACGCGGGTGGCGCTGTGGGTAAAACCTCAGCGCCTAGGACTTGCCGATCGCATGGTCGGCGGTTCGAATCCCCGCGGCGGGGTGAGCTCCCGTCGTTCGGTCCCAGCTCCTGCCCACCTAGCAGTTTGAAAGCACGCTTAAGTGCAAGTAGATAAATAGGTACCGCTTTATGGCGGGAAGGCAAACGGCGTTTCTGTGTGCTGCGCTGGTGCTGGCTCGCCAGAGCAGCTTCGTCACGCTGGCCACGTGACCCGGAAGTGTCTCCGGACAGCGCTGGCCCCCGGCCTCTTAAGTGAGATGGGCGCACAACCCTAGAGTCGGACACGACTGGCCCGTATGGGCAGGGGTACCTTTACCTTTACCTACCTTGTTCACACCAACCTGGCCTGTACCTTACAATCCACATCAGGCTTGTGGGTCTGGCCTGTCTGTGAGAGCAAGTTGGTGCCAAAGAATCATGTGGGAACGACAATTCCCAACACCCATAACCAACTACAGTTCCCAGGATGCTTTGTGCAGGGGGATGTGCTCTAAGTGTGTGGTGTGTGCGCAGTCACAAGGTTTCCCCCGCTGACTGAAGGTGGTGTTGAAACCAACAGTGAATGTGATTGTGCTGCGCAACAATTTGCCGGCCGTTCCTCTGCCTGAGTGTGCCACCGCACGCAGATGTGACTGATCCGTCCGAAGGGGAACTTGTTGCGTATGTTTTCATGCCAACCATTTCCTGCCAACCAGAAGCAGGAATTTCACAAAGACGTGTTGCCTTGTTTACATCACCTTCGATGCCCGGGTCAAAGAGGGCATTACTGACGATGGTGTGAAGAAATTAAACCTCATCTAAGCATCCATGCAAATTTACTTCTTATTTACAGAGGTCTGCATTAAGACATCTAAAGGAACACAGGAAGCTGTCTTATACTGAGTCAGACCTTTGGCTCCCTATTCCCCTCACAGATGTACAGTTCCAGTTTAACCATTAATCCCTCTCCCCAAGGAACTGTGAGAATTGTAGGTCTCACAGGGTTTAGGGCCCCCCTATCAACTCTCAGCAGGACGTGGGTGGTGCTGTGGGTTAAACCACAGAGCCTAGGATTTGCCGATCAGAAGGTCGACGGTTCGAATCCCCATGAAGGGGTGAGCTCCCGTTGCTCGGTCCCTGCTCCTGCCATCCTAGCAGTTCGAAAGCACGTCAAAGTGCAAGTAGATAAATAGGTACCACTCCGGCGGGAAGGTAAACGGCGTTTCCGTGCGCTGTTCTGGTTCGCCAGAAGCGGCTTAGTCATGCTGGCCACATGACCTGGAAGCTGTACACCAGCTCCCTCGGCCAGTAAAGCGAGATGAGCACCACAACCCCAGAGTCGGACACGACTGGACCTAATGGTCAGGGGTCCCTTTACCTTTACCTATCATCTCTCAGCACCCTTAGCCAACAACAGTTCCCAGGATTATTTGGGGGGGAAACATAACGATTTAAAGTGGTATGAAGCAGGGTGCAGGTGGGGTCCAAAACTCTTCCCCGCTAATTCCTCTCACAGAACTACAATTCCCAGAGTTCCCCGGGAAGAGGTATGGACTGTTAAACCACTTGGGGAATTGTAGCTCTGTGAGAGGAACAGGGGTCTCCTAAACGCTCTCAGCACCCTTAACAAACTACAGTTCCCAGGATTTTTTGGGGGGGAAGCCATGGAAGTTGTATGATACTGCTTTAAACGCATGGTGCGGATGGGGCCAAGTTTGACTCAGAACCCAAGACAGGACAGGCCTCCCTCTGGGAAGACTTTCTCACATCTGCTTTTTGAGGTAGGCAGGCATCCAAGAGATGCTCAGGGAGCGAAAGTCCCCACCTCCTCAACCCTACCATACTCCCAGAGGCCTATGGGTACATGTTGTCCCAGCTCGGCCAAGAGGCAGGCACTCCCAAATTCCCACCGTTCCCATGCCTTCCTTCAACAACGCACATCTGGAAAACACTGAGTTTTCCAGGACACAGCTCAAAAGCTTGTGAAGTCTGCCAAGGACAGCCGCCAACGGAAACTCAAGTCCTGATGCAACGACACACGTGTGTGTGTGTCAGGAAAGAGTCAACCACGTTCCATTGACTCCGCATTCTCCAACTTAGTGCCCTCCAGATGGTTTGGACTACAACTCACCAGGCTGGCTCTGCCTGATGGGAGTTGTAGTTCCAAAACATCGAAAGGGATGGGCAGCAGGTCGGGTAAGGCTGCCATAACTCGTCTGAGGTTCTCTGGAAAGAAAAGATAAATAAGGAACAAAGGCATTCCAGGAAATGATGGTTCAGCATTTTACTCTACTCCAATTCCTCCAGCGACAATCAACTAACACCAATGTGCAGTAATGAGAATACCTGGCTTGGAGTGGGCGTCGAATGAGCAAATCTGCCATTTTGTTTTTTCTCATTTTTCTAATATTAAATTCAGTTCTCCCCATTTCAATATCAGTTTGTACTCATTAAAATTGATCAGCATTTTAGTCGAATTCCTCCTAATGCACACATGCTGGTGTGCAATTGTGTCTAATATAAGCATTTGTGTAAATCAATTTCCTCTAATACAATGCATTTGTAATACTTCCCCCACCTACAGATATATGCATTTTTGGCACGTTTCAATCTAGCATAAGCATTTTTCTACACATGACTTGGAGAACTGCTCTGCAAAACTCAGAGAAGTACAAATTTCAAACAATGGGACTGTTTTTGAGCTTTGTTTTGGGAAAGTTGCAAATTAGGTAAAAACATAGGAAACTCCCATATACTGAGTTAGACCAATGTCCCATCTAGCTCAGTATTGCTTACACTGACTGGCAGCAGATGCCAGGGATTGAACATAGGACCATCTACCCACCAAGCGGAAGCTCTGTCCACTGAGCTGTGTCTCTTTCCAGATTCACATATAAACGTGAAATGAATCAAATTTCTACCCCACCACTAGTTGTAGATATCTCTGAAGTTTTGTACCTCTGTAATGTTGTTTTATTTTTTTAAAAAAACTCTGATAATAAATACATAAATAAACATAAATTCTCGCAACATCTTAAAAGACCGTCTTCACATCCCTCCCAAGGGCAGCCATCCTTTTCAAGAGAAGAAAGAATTGGAAATGACAATTTGGCAGGATCTGAATACATGGCTTCTTCTTGAGCTGACTGAACTGGTCCACGGGGCTTTGACTGGGCACTTGGGGAGAGTTAAGAGTGACGATGACACAAGTTATTTGCAGTCCTCTCCCCAAAGGGGGTATGTAGAGTACAGGGGTGAGCCAAGACATTTTGCTGGAGAAGAAACAGTATGTTGTAGGATGGAGATGAGGAACTTCAGGCTCGGAGTCTGAATTGGCCCTCCAACTCTCTCTCTCTGGCCCTTGGAAGTATCCCCAGGCCACACCCCCTCTCCCCATGCCACACCCTTCACTGGCCCTGCATCCAAACCACATACAGAATCAGATTGGACTCAACGTTGAGCGTTAGTTCAGCACTGGTGACAATGGAACAGTGTTGTTCATGACAGCCCCAAGGACACTGGGTCCCGTCCTCTAACATTTTGCTGCTTCTTTTTAACTGCCTGAATCCGCTGCCTCATTCTGCCTAATGGCAAGTCCAGCCCTGGTAGACCACTGTTCAAAATGGTGGTCCAGGTCAGATCTGTCTGTGCACCCTCTCTCAGGCCATGAAAGATCAGGGGAGTGGACTGGTTCAAATTCCCCAGCGCTGAGAGTTCAGAATCGCTCCCCTTCCGTCCCAGAGGCAGCAGGAAAAGAGCTGGGCAAAGGTCCACGAAAACGACAGAGCCTTTGAAGAAAACATCTCTGAAGAAAACACTTGCCATCTCTGTGTAGAAAGCATGGATGGCACCAGTGTTATTTTTCTGAGAAAAAGAGGTGCCGGAACTCACCATAAATGCCTCACTTGTTCTCTTATAATGGCAGTGGCGCCCACCTGAGAGGTACCAGAACTGAGTTCCGGCGAGTTCCGGCTGAAAAAAAGGCCTGGATAACACAAAATCGCTGCCCCTTCCACCCTGGAGGCAGCAACAAACACAGCATGTTAAAAGCAATGGCGTCGAGTGAAGCTCCCCCAAAGAAACAGAGCCTCGAACTCTGAAGCAACAGAGATACCATCTTGCCAGTAGACGCCAACACCCGGCTCAGAGCTGCTCCTCACTGCGGAAAGAGCTGTTTGCCGCTCCGTCCAGGCCTGGCTCAGCATCGAGGATGTTGTCCATCGACCCGCGGTGAGGATGCTTCCTCCTGTTGCGGACGCAGAAATGCCAGGCCAAGGCGGAGATGACCACAAGGATGAGGGTGGCAGCCAGCCCCGCAGCTATGTAGGCATAGGGCATTTGGTGGGCAGGAGTCCGGATGAGGCGGCACGGCCCGTGCTGCCGGGTGCCATCGTCTGTGGGGCTGGATCCGGCCCGGTTGGATGCCACGATGCAGAACAGGTACTCGTGATCTGGCAGCAACCCTGAGACAGCTGCCAAGCGGAAAGTGTTGTTGAGGGCCGGGCCGGTGAGGAAGTCCTCACCAACTAGCTGATAGTGCAAGCGATATTCCTGGACCGTGGAAGAAGGCGCACACCAGTGCATGCTCGCTCCCACCTCGCTCGTGTGGACCATCTGCAGGCGGGGCGGCTCGGGGGGCACATCTGGGCCAGTGACCCCCGGGCACAAGCACCCGCTAGCCCTGCTCAGCTCTGCGCAGGGCACTTGGAGGTGCTGGCAGGGGTTGTATTTGCAAAGGTGATGGGTCGGCTGTGGAAGGCCGGGCGTCTGGGGCTCTGAGGTCAGAGGGTAGTCGTAATCGTCGTAATGTTGATTGTCAGGATAATCCAGAGAAGGTTTGACCGGAGCAGGCGATGAGGTCCTGTCTTTGCTCACTGCCGGGGCGTTGCTCCCTGAGGGATGTGGGAAGAGGGGGTTCTCTTTCAGGGGCACGGGCAAAGGGTGCCCCATGCTTGTCGGTGATGCCTGGGGGCAGAGGGTCAGGATCCAGGCCGCTACCAGAAACAGCCCTGGAATTTGCATGGCTCCTGGTAACAGATGGAAGAGAAGCACAGTAGAAGGGGGAAACAGGGGTGTTTTAATTTACTTTAATAACAACAATAATAAAAATTATTTATATGCTGCCCTCCCCAGCCAAAGCTGGGCTCAGAGCGGCTAACAACAGTAAAAGTAACACAGTTTACATAAAATCACAATCAATTAATTGAAATACATTCTAAAATCAGTTCATTCTAAAATCAATTTAGAATCAAATTAATGGCAACCATTGGGCTGGAGTTCTATGAGAATTACCAAAGGACTATTGGTCTATTTTTTTCTAATCAATTTTTTCAACATATAACAATGTCACACAGATAAATAATGAAATATCCCACCCTAACTCAGAAGCTGGTGTTTATGCAATACATAAACAACCAAATACTTATCCCAAACTACTATTTGTACAGAAGGCGATAAGCAGTTTAAGATAATCAAAAGTAATAGTTTTTAAGAGCTGGTTTTAAATGGGATGCTGCCTTATACTGAGTCATAGAATCAACACAGAGTTGGAAGAGACCACAAGGGTCATCTAGTCCAACCCCCTGCAATGCAGGAATCTTTTGCCCAATGTGGGGCTTGAACCCACAACCCTGGAATTAAGATGCTCTGAGGTATCACAAACCCAATTTACCCAACTTGGGTCCAGACTATCACAGAGACCATATATCTCTGCCCAAACACTGAGATATTTGAGGGAGTCTCGGTTAATGATCTACCACGGTTCAGAGACATGGCTCGTAACTACCAGAAGTGGTGTGTTCAAAATTGCGGGTCCAATCCTGTGGAACTACCCTCCTGACTGAGATAAGAACGCATCCTGTTCCCTGCTGAACTGCAGTGCTTGACAATGACTTTCCAATTTCAGCATTTTAAGGTTCTTCTCCATTTCTAGGGTTTATTTCAATTGTTCTTATTCTTTGTACAGTGTTCTTAAAAAAAGTATGCACACTGCTTATAAATTATAACTATTAAGTCTTATATAAATACAGATCTAAAATAAAATACCCCCCTTGCATCTTTCTGTGTCAGCCCATATGGTGAAACATTCAGAATTCCTAAACCACCAGATCTGACATTACGCATTACTATTTTGAACGAGGTGACTGTTTGTGCGTAGCCAGATTTATGCATGCTTGTGGCTGGAGTCAAGGTCTGAATCAGAAGTGGTAACCCACAGGATGAGGAAACCTGTGGCCCTCCAGATCTTGGGTACGCACACACCAGACATTTAAAGCACCTCACAAAAAGAATTATGGGAATTGTAGTTTACCCCCGTAGAGCTACATTTCACAGCACCCTTAACAAACTACTGTTCCCAGAATTATGATGATTTTGAGGGGGTGGGGAATGTGTTTTGCATATATTTTAAATGCACAGTGCATTCACAGCCTAAGTTGGGGGATGAGTGAGACAAGGGCGCTGTGCAAATGCTGATGTGCTGGATCAGACCAAGGGTGTATCTAGTCGAGTGCCCTGTACCCAGAAGCGACCTGCAAGACGTGAAGGCAACAGACCTCATCTGATCTGCCTCTGCTGATTTTGGAAGTAGAGTTCTCCTGAACCAGAGGGTCCCTCACTGCCTCCTACAGGATCTAGAGCAAGGAGACGGGGAACTCAGGCCTGGAGTCCAAATGTACCCATCCAGGTCTCTCTGCCAGATTCCTCAGGCCCCTCTCCAGGCAACATCCCTCCTGAGGCAGCACATACCCCATGCATTTAAAGAATGCCTCAAATACAGTGGTACCTCGGGTTACATACGCTTCAGGTTACAGACTCTGCTAACCCAGAAATATTACCTCGGGTTAAGAACTTTGCTTCAGGATGAGAACAGAAATCGTGCAGCGGCGGGGCAGCGGCAGCAGGAGGCCCCATTAGCTAAAGCGGTGCTTCAGGTTAAGAACAGTTTCAGGTTAAGTACGGACCTCTGGAACAAATTAAGTACTTAATCCGAGGTACCACTGTAATCCTGGGAACTATAGTTTGTTAAGGAACTGTATATCTGCGCGGGCTGAACTACAGTTCCCAGGATTCTTGTGGTGTGGTAGTACATGTATATATCCTGAGCTGGGCCCTTCAACAGCCTTCCTTAAGTGTTTCTACCAAGCTGGAATGTGCCCTTGGACTTTGACCATACCTTTTGCTTGCTCCAATAGAGCATGTGTACAAAACAGATTACTATACAAACATAAACGTTACCTTTCTTGCTATGCCGACTTTTTACTTCTGGCCCTTCCCGCTGCTGTTATGCAGCCCCCCCCCCCAAGATGGGAATGTGACCCCCCCCCAAACAAACAAACAAGATCCCCCACCCCTACTTTACCCCAAGAGGAACGCAACTTAAGAGGCGAGGAGGAGGAGATGTGCCTCAAGGGGGCAAATTCACTCACCTGGATAGTGGATGTCTGCTTTTGGTTGCTAGGCAACAGGCTGCCGGGAAGGGTCTCTGCAGCAAGTTATTACCCAAAGGATGCAAGGTGGCAGGAACCCCCCTCGATGAAAGAACTCCGATGGAGCTGTTTCCAGGAATAACAGGACCCACCAGGCAAGGACCAAAAGCCTGTGGTGCTGAAATGTGGTGTGTGCGTATCAAAAGCTGCCTGTATGGGATGGGGTGGCGTGGGGGCACAATAATTGCCGCCTCAGAGCTGAGGAGCAATTTGTGGCATCCGTGGAAATGATAAGCAATAGCTCCTTGCCTGCCGGGAACGAGCAAAGTGGTGGCCTCTTGCGAAGCCAAAAACCCAAACTTTTATATCCTCCTCGTGGGATGATCTCATCGTCCCCCCTTCACAACCTCTTCCTCCCCCCCCCCCACCTCCTTTACAGCTGGGCCCAGCCAGTGGGAATGAGTACAAGGCAACTAATGGGCGTGGAAAATTCTTTGGCTTGACAGGGACCCCCCTGGCAGGTGCCTGGAAAGAAAACAAATAGTGCCTTATAAGGGCTATTCACATCCTTCTCGGAAATCCCTCCTCTGGGTAGGAGAGGGAATAAATAAGAGTTGAGGGGAGAGAGAGAGAAAGTAAAAAAGACCTGACAGCAGACAGGGAAGGGTGTGTTTGTGTGCTGTGTCACAATCCCAAGGGGGGGACGGACTATTCTTACATGGGCAAACTGATTCAGGATACTCATCCCAGACAGAGGGAGAGGCATTTTTCCTGTTCCCAGAGCAGCTCTGCCCTGCCTGGAGCCATACACTCACCCAGGTCTCAGCCACTCATTGAAGCATCAGCACAGACAAAAGACACTTTCCAGGGATCATCTTACACCCAAAGCAGTGCCAAAAAATGTGATTTACAGCACAGTGGGGGAAAACCTTTCAGATGTTGTTAGACTCCAACTCTCAGCCAATGGTAAGGAATTATGGAAGTGGAAGGCCACAGGTTTCCCACCCCTCACTTATATTATCATATTTGCTTTCTTTATTCTTCTTCCGTTCCAAAAGGATCTCATCCTCTTTTTCTTTACCGCTGGGCTTTCTTCCCATTTTGCAAGCTGAAGGACTGAGGCCAAGGACAGCGAGGCTCAAGAAGAGACCACACAGGGAGACCAACAGGAAATAAGCTCGCCACCTCCCCCATAAAAAAGGCCTCTTACGGTTTTATGAGCCGCAAGGCAGGCAGATGTTCAGCAGGTGAAGCCACATAGCACCCCCATGTCAAGAGAAGCGTATTCTGTTGAATTTATGGCCTGTGCAAAGCTATTTTGATGTATTTTTCATCTTTGTTGGAAGCCGCCCAGAGTGGCTGGGGAAACCCAGCCAGATGGGTGGGGTACAAATAATAAATTATTATTATTATACTATTAAAGACATGGAAGCTGTGTGTGTGTGTGTGTGTGTGTGTGAGAGAGAGAGAGAGAGACAGACAGACAGACAGACAGACAGACAGACAGACAGTCAATGAGTGAGTGAGTGAATAAGTAAGAGAGAACATTAAAAAGCAGTGATAGGACGCCCAGCGCGAAGTGTCTCCGGTCCACACCGGCCAACAGGAAAATATCTAAGAGCCAAAAATCCTGCATTCTCTCGTTTATTAATGAGGTCATTCCAAGAGCAGAAAAACTGAAAAGGAAAATAAAATAAAGACAATGCATTTATTGACTCTTAAGTAATATTGTACAAAACAGTTGTGCTGAAGAGATGCTGCTTGATGTACCCATTCGTGTTTTAAAACAACTTATTGTTTTACTTTTAATTTTCCTAATCGACAACAGACAGAAAATCCCCCCCCTCTGTTGACTGACGTTTCAATAACCCGCAGTTGTCTTCCCTCATGAGCAGCCAAAGATCTATGACGCTGACGTACGCAAAAGACTTCACCTTCTTTATTTTACCACAGAGTATAATTCCCATTTTAGAGGTGGGAGAACTGAGGCCACACAGACTTAACTGCATTTTGAAATCCTGGCGGACAGGGATTAAAATAAAGGAGGTACACAACGTTCTTAAGAATACAAAATATGTCTTCTTAGATTCCCTCCATCACTTCCTAGAATGAGGTGTCTCTTGTATACCTCATGATGCCTTTCAGAGCCCCACTGTGCAGAGTTTTGAGGTAAGATAGTGATGTTAATTTACTTATTCCGTATATCCCACCCTTCCTCCAGAATGAGCCCAGGTTGGCTCATGCATGAGGAAAAAAAATATATTTTAAAGCCTTCTCAGAAACAGTTAAAAACATATTCTTAACCAGTGATCTCAGATTAAAGTTTTAAGGAATACTTCAGGTTCTTTTGGACCAGCTCAAAGCCCTTTCTTGGTGGGCTTCTGTGGTAGCAACAGCTCTCCACACTGCAGATAGGAGACAGATCCAGCAACCAATGTAGAAGAAAATGGAGGGTCCAGGCTGTGTGTCAGCAGTGGGCTCTTTGGGGACCCCAGGAGTTCCCTCCCCACAAAACCAGCAAGAGGGGATGGCGCTCTTCTCCAATTCCCCAGTGTGGCAATAATTCTCCTAAAGGCAACCTCACTTTTCAACTAATATTCCACTTCCTCTCAGATCATCACCAGCTGCACGTAAAGCTGCTCAGGACATGACCCTGGCCATATCCTGGCAACAGCAAAGCAGAGCTCTTTGCTATTCCCTCAGCTCCTCTGCAAGGAAATTCAGCAAACAGGCTGGGCAAGGAGGTCGCCCTTAGAACTTCCTAAACGAGCTTAACTTTGGAACTGTTGAGCCTACTGCAATTGCCACGTGGCAAGGATTTTACTACAATTTCCTCCTTTTCTTCCTCAGTTGCCCAAACAAGACAACACGAAAACTAGGCCAGAAACCTCCAAAGGTTTGCATTCAATGCTTTCAGCATTTGTAGAAACAGAAGACATTTTCCGGGACAAATGGGGCCTTTAGAGAACTACCATATTTTACACTGCCATTTATTTATTTTTTTAAAAGCTACTTTTTGTCAAGATTCTGATGTGATCTGAAAAGCACTTTGCCCTTTGGGTTCAAATGGGTTGCTCTGCTGATGGGGGAAAGGTTACTCTGTACATGCTCAGAGGCATGCAGCCCGTGTCAGACTTTGCAAAAGCAGACAACCATATTCAAAACACAGGTTGAAAGCTTTTGCAAGTTTAAGGAACAGTGAATTGCAGGGCCTGCCAGTCCATGAATAAATTGATCATTTGCCTTAACTAACTGGGAACACGTTTCTTCGGCTGCTTTCAGATCCTGTAAGCTTCCATAGAATCACAGAATTGTAGAGACAAGATGTCAAACTGTTCTTCTATGCAACAACAGTGACAAAAGTACTGTTAGCTCAGAAATGGAAGCAAGAAGAAATTCCGACGAAAGAAGAATGGCAGACGAAATTAATGGACTATGCAGAATTGGACAAAATGACAGGAAGGATTTGAAACCTGCGGGACCAGAGATTTACAGAAGATTGGAAGAAGTAGATGAATTATTTGAAGAGCAACTGTAATCAACAAATTACGCTAGTAGGACTACAAGAAGTTTTGTAAGGAGAAATATACGAAGTGTTACAAAGTAGAAAAAGATAAGAGATATTGGTTATGAGTTTGAAATGTAACAGGGAAGATAAGAAATGCATACTAAGAGATTAGATTGGAAAATTTTCAGACAGGATTGATGGAAGTCAAAAAAATTGAATAAGATGTAAAAGTATGTTTAATTACTGTTGAAAATGATACGTTAAAAAACTAATAAAAAATTATATATAATTTTTTTTTTTTGTAGAGGTGGGAGGGACTCCAAGGGTCATCTAGTCCAACCCCCTGCAATCCAGGAATCTCAACTAAAGCATCCATAACAGGTGACCATCCAACCTCTGCTTGAAAACCTCCAACGAAGGAGAGTCCATCACCTTTCAAGGGAGTCTGTTCCACTGTCAAACAGCTCTTACCATCAGCAAGTTCTATGTGATATTTAATTGGAATTTACTTTCTTGCAACTTGAAGCCATTGGTTCGAGTCCTACCTTCCAGAGCAGGAGAAAACAAGCTTGCTCCCTCTTCCAAGTGACAGCCCTTTAGATATTTGAGGATGGCTATCAGATCTTTTCATGGGACCCGGGTGGCGCTATGGGTTAAACCACAGAGCCTAGGGCTTGCCGATCAGAAGGTCGGCGGTTCGAATCCCCGCAACAGGGTGAGCTCCCGTTGCATGACAAGTGCAAGTAGATAAATAGGTACCACTCTGGCGGGAAGATAAACGGCATTTCCATGTGCTGCTCTGGTTCACCAGAAGCGGCTTAGTCATGTTGGCCACATGACCTGGAAGCTGTACGCTGGCTCTCTTGGCCAATAAAGCGATGAGTGCCACAACCCCAGAGTTGTCCGCGACTGGACCTAATGGTCAAGGGTCCTTTTACCTTTATCATATCTCCTCACATTACAGCTCTTATAAAATAAAGAAACTTTTAACATCCCAACATTTCAAATTATTTTATTCCCAGCTGATACAGCTCCTCTCAAAAGATCTCCTTTGCAAAAAAAATTAAAAAAAAAATAAAAACAGGGTTGGGGATAGGGAAAAAGATATTTTTAAAAACAGGAGGAGGAGAAACACAAGCTTAATTAACGAATGTTGCCCAGACATTATAAGGACAAGCAAGTGGGACCGACTGCACGTTAGGGGAATGCTAATTAAATTTCAGTTGGAAGAACTGGGGCACAGGGTACGACTGAGACGTTGCTTTTCAAAATCCGCTTTTGTCTTAATTTGTGCTGAGTCATTATCATGAGTCTCTGACTAAGCAAGGGGACTGCATTCCTGAGCAAAAGCTCTTTCCAGAAAAAAAGGGGGGGAGGAGAGCGAGCTTTGGCTGAGTATGAATTAATTCTGAAAACAGCCCGCATGATTAAACTTGGAAGGGCTCAATGGAATTCAGAATTGCTCATACACTACGTGCCAGTTTCTATACCATGGAATAGCAAAATTCCGGCCTTACAAAAAATCCACAAATGAGTGGTGCTAAATTCCGCTCATCTTGCATAATTTAAGAATGAGTGGCGTGTGCATTTCTGGTACACAGCTTGCTCAGAGTATTTGCTCCACATACAACCCGATAAGCCGAGGTTTTGGTTGGCAAATTGTGGGAGAAAAGGTGGAGGAGCGGAACGGGAGAGAGAAGACTCTGGCAATCGAGGATGAGACACAAGGTGGACCTCATGATACATGGCCAATGCACGTTGGGGGTTTCCATTTAGAAAATTTGCACCTAAGGTGGCAGCGAAGGCAAATCATTTCTTAATTTATTTTTAATGCAAATTTATTTGAA